GGATCCGCCAGTACCTTCCTCCAGACCAGGGGGAAAGCAGGCAGGATGGAACCCCGACATCACTGAACAAATGGCTCTGTCTGGAGCCACCCTGAACTTAAGTTATGCTGGATAATAGAACGTCCTCGGGTTTTCTTTTTTTTTCTTTCTTTTTTTTTTTTTTTTTTGCGGTACGCGGGCCTCTCACTGTTGTGGCCTCTCCCGTTGCGGAGCACAGGCTCCGGACGCACAGGCTCAGCGGCCATGGCTCACGGGCCCAGCCGCTCCGCGGCATGTGGGATCCTCCCGGACCGGGGCACGAACCCGTATCCCTGCATTGGCAGGCGGACTCTCAACCACTGCGCCACCAGGGAAGCCCTGTCCTCGGGTTTTCTTATACCCGCAGCCAAATCCATCCTAACCGATAGGTTACCTGTGGTCAGGTGGTGAGGATTAAATTCGGTAACACCTGGGAAAGCCCTTATTGGCTCAGCACTGGGCAGTCACTCAGCATGAGTTGCTACTTTTTAAGCTTGTTTTGGAAGTTTACGTGATTTACAAGGTTGTGTTAGTTTCAGGTGCTCAGCAAAGTGATTCAGTTACACATATATATGTGTTCTTTTTCAGATTCTTTTCCCCTATAGGTTAGTACAAACATTGAGTAGAGTTCCCTGTGCTCTACCGTAGGTCCTTGTTGGTTACCTGTTTTATATATAGTAGTGTGTTCATGAGTTACTTTAAAGTCTGGGATCCACAGACTGTAGGCCAGCTCTGGCTATGGGCTTGGCATTGGTAGGGTATAAAGAGGGCTGGGGAGCTGGAGTGTGGTTTCATGGGGCTCAGGGAGCAGGGAAGGGAGACGAAACCCCCTTTTCTCCTTGGAGCTCCAGGGAAGTGTGAGCAATCAGGCCTCCGGGTGAATGGGCAAAATCTAGGCCTGGGTACCATCCGTGGGGTCTGAGGCAGTGTATTCATCAGTGGAGGAGGGACAGAGGCGAAGGATGCTGAGGCCTGGGGTGGGGGGGTGAGGGGGCTTCTTCTCCCAGTCCTATTTGGCATTCATTAATTCCATTAATTTCTTTCCCTTTGGAAAAGCCCAGAGACCTTTGGGAGAAGTAGCCGATCAAATCTGTGACACAGTGTGAACGAGGCTGAGGGTCACATCCTCCTTGAGAGAAAGACCTCTGAAGTGAGGGGTTGGAAGCTGCTGAAACTGAGTAAAAGGCCAGAGAGACCAGGACACTTTCACCCATTCAGGGTTCTTGAGCGCCTTCTGCCTGTGTGGCCTGGCGGGAGACGCTTGGGGGATATTGTGACATGTCCCCCTCAAGAAGTTTGTCTGGGACGTCCGACCGAGGTGACTTCGGGCCCAAGGGAGACATTCAGAGCTGATGCTGAGGGCTGGAGACCCCTGATTGGGTGGGACCCCAGCGTTAGTAGCTGAGGTCACGGGTGGAGCCACCAGGGGAGGGTGTGAGGGGAGGAGAGAAGGGTGGGATCTGGAGCACTGACCGCAAAGCAAGGAAAGTAAGGAGCTTGGGACAGTGAATAGAGAGGACTGATCCAGAGAAGCAGGGACAAGCGGGGGTGGGGGGTCAGTTTTAAAAGGAAGGCAGGCTGTTCACAGCGTTGGCGGCCCCAGAGAAGCCAAGAGGGATGCTGACTGCATGTGTTTCCGGGAGGTCAGCATGTGCTCCCGGGAGGTCATGCTGAAGGGCTGGAGCTGGTTGTCTGGGGGGTGGGTAGGCGTGGGCCTGACTGTCTTGCTGGCTGGTGGACGGATGCTGGGGAAACAGAAGTACCTTATACAACGTACGCTATAAATCGTTGGTTCTAAAGAAGGTGAGATGTGGAAAGAAAGAAAGAGGAAGGTGAGCTCTTGCCGTGCTGGTCATGGGAGAGGCTCACTTCTGTTACTGAGTGGGAGATGCCGCAGATATGGGGAAGGAGGGGGTCGGGATCCAGAGCAGGAGAATTAGTCGTCCCTAAGGGAAGAGCTCCCCCGGGGAGGGGCCGACGCATTTCCTCCCCCGAGTCCTGGAAGCAGGAGGTGGTGTTGCATGTGGCCCGGAGGCCTCGGCGAGGAGATGCAGATACGCAGAAGCATCTGTTGACCTGGGCTGCGTGTGACGTGCTGCCTTGAGCACGGGGGCTGCCCCCAGGGGAAGGTGCGGGTACCTAGTTCCTGGGGTCACGGGCTGGGCAGGGTTTGGCAGTGCTGGAAGGTAGGCACACCACTGTAGGCAAAGGAAAGGGGAAGGAGAAGCAAGTAATGGAAAGAGATGGGCCTCACTAAAAAAAAAAAAAAAAAAATTGCAAGCAGGTGAGAAGTTGAGAAAGTCGGTGACGGTGTGTGGGAAGCCTGGACCCCGGTGATTAGCCCGGAGCGCACTGGACTTGAACTAGGCAACAAAACCATGATAGGCGTGAACGGGCCATGGGAACGGGCAAAGAAATCTATCACACCAATGTGCCTTCGGGTTTTCTATTTATTTATCGCAACAGAAAAATTGCCCTTCACCAGTCTTGTGGTGCTGTGATTTCAGGGCAGTGCGTAATCTGTAGTTTGCACGTAGCGTATCTGATACATTTCTGCTTGGAAATGTAGTAAAAACCTCAATAACCTGGAGTTAGGTAGGCCAGAGGGTGAAGTCTTATTGTAACTAATTAAAACTTTTTAAAAATTAAAGAAGCAATTTTTACTTGTACCAGGGGCTTGAAGTAGTCGAAAGCAGCATGATGAAAGTGGGCACTTCAAGGTCTGGGAACCTGCTTGTACCCATGATGAGGGTAGACTAATTGTCCGTATATTTTGCTTTTAAAGGCGGGACTGGGAGGGGCTGTAAGGTAGGTGCGGAAGCGTTTGGAAGCTGTTTACGTTTTTGAGTTGGTCAAAGCAAGCACGTTCCAAGTTTGCTGATTATTTTCACTCGTCGTCTCCGGAAGGTGACAGGACAGGCAGGGAGACCTGGGTGCGCTCCTCAGAGACACGGGGGGAGGCCCCTCACGCGACAGCCCCTCACCCTTGCTCCTGCGTCTAAGGCGGCTCTCTCAGGGCTTTGTTGCTTTGCGTTCCAGAGCTCTAACACTCTGAGCCTCCTTTCAAATAATTCCACTGCGGTTACCGATGTACACCGTGCAAAACTGCTAGTGGAACAGAAGGAGGGGGCGGTTCTAGGGCAGAAGGGGAAGATCCCTTTTGGAGCAGAAGCCCCCTGGTTGGGCAGCGCTGGGTAGGTGCTACAAATGGTCATTCTGAGCAGCCAGGGGTTCCAGCATTTGGGGACCTGCTGGTCCCCACTTCTTATCACTCGTTTAGCAAACCCTTTTATTATAGCTGACACAAGGCTCATATGCGCTGGCATCTGTTTTGATATATCAAATTAAAAACATATAAAAATAAATATTCAGTATAATATCAAGTTAATTTTTCTTATGATACCCTCAACAACATTTGCAAATCATCTCTCCTCTTCCCCAGTTACCAATGGTTTCTTCAGCAACACTGGAAAAAGGTAATTTTTAATTTCAACCCCAAATCTGTATACGATCAGTTTCATTGACTGGGACCCAGTTAGTTCAGAACAAACCAGTTAGGACGAGATGAAAGCAGTCACACTAGCTGTTTATAGACATCTTTTTAATGTTTTACTTTAAAACAAATAATCCCAGTAAAAGAGAGCAAAGGAAATTACATTTGAATGGTAGCTTGAAATGGATATGATATTCCTGATTTATTTGTTTTCAGGAAACAGACAACTGCATTGTCATACACGACTTCCAGAACTGCTCACTTAAATGCACATAATTATATTAAATTAAGTTTCTCTTACAAAAACACAACCATGTCATTTTAAGGCAAAAAATAGCTTCTGGGGAGATAAGTTAACATTTATGGTATTTTTTTCAATCTGGATGAAGTGACCTATTCACTTAGTTGCTCACTTGCATCATTCCTTATAGTTTGCTTTGCAAACAGGCATGAGAATTAGTCACTTTGTGCCTGATTTCCTCCTCTCTGTTAGACTTTACTGGCAAATTAAGAATGTTCAGAATCACTGAGCCAAGGGGAGGCAAGAAAGGCACCTTAGAACAGGAGATAAAGACTTAAAAACTCAGTCAAGTGTCTTCTTTAAACGAAACTTGCAATCTACACGTGTTAATTTAGTTGAACAAAATGCAAACATTTAGATCAGACAGAGCAAAATTTCTCAGTTCACCTCCTAGAAGGGATGTTTGCCAGGAAGCGGTGGCTTTATCAGCCCCACGAACTGCAGAAGGCAGACGAACACGGACCCCAGAAAGCCGGCGGCTGATCAGCGCTCAGCTAACTTGTGCTTCGAGACGCCGTCTGGGGTTGACCGAAGGGACTTTGCTAAGTGTAAGTGGGAGGCCCCTCTCGGCTCCGCCGAGAGGAACAGAGCAGACACAACCCTCCAGTTTTCACACAAGACAACCGGCTTTCGACATCCAGGACTTTTTGCGCTATAGAGTAAGAAAGACAGACACAAAATGGTCATGGCTTGGATGTATGAAAGCTTTTCCTAACATGATTTACCACGCGGGGCTGTGGGTAACCCTCAGTGATGGGCTTAGGTTTGTTTCTGAATCTTCCGTCTTCAGCAACGCCCGATGAACTGTACTATGTGTGAGGCCTAAAGGGGCCAAAGGAGGGGTCCCCCGTACATTCAGAGCTCCTGCTGCCAGTGGGGTTTGACCCAGACAGAGCGTGTCCAAGACTCAGTGCTACCCGAAAGCTGCTCTCTCCTGCCTCTTCCTCGGCTGATACCTGGAGAGGCCTGCCGTGCACGGCGGGGGTCTGGCTTCGGGTCAGTGGAGGGGTGTGTGTGTGTGTGTGTGTGTGTGTGTGTGTGTGTGTGTGTGTGTGTGTGTGTGTGTGTGTGTGTCTGCTC